CAGACCACTAGCCCAATTAACCAAAAGAAAGAGCACCTCCAAATCAATAAAATCAGAGATGAAAGGGGAAACATCACAACAGACACACAAAAAAAATCCAGAACATTATAAGGGAATGCTTTAAAAACGTTAATAAATTTGAAAATCCAAAAGAAATGGAATAATTTCTAAATTCAATGGCTCTATCAAAGTTAAACCAAGATCAACAGTTTAATTAATTAGTTAGTTTAGTTAGTTATTTTTGGTCTTCTTGAGAGAGGGTCTCCCTGTAGTCACAGCTGGTCTGTAACTTACTATGGAGACCAAGCTGGCCTGGATCTCACAGAGATCCACCCACCTCTGCCTCCCAAGCGCTGGTATTAAAGGTGTGTCCAACCATGCCTGGAAAAGAGCAATGGTTTAAACAAACTTGTAACAAATAATCAAACTGAAACAGGCCCAGATTCAGTCACAGAAGAATTTTACCAGACCTTGAAAGATCTACAACCAATTCACTTAAATTATTCAGAAAGATAGTTACAAAGCAAGAACTCCCAAACTCCTTCTATAAAGCTAGTATCACTCTAATACCAAAACCACATAAAGATAGAACAACAAGAAGCAAAACAAACAAAACTAAAACCCTATAGGCCCATATCCCTAATGATGATAGAAGCAAAAATTCTCAACAAAATATTAGCAAATCATGCATGCACACAAGCGTGCACGCACGCGCGCGCGCGCATACACACACACACACACACACACACACACACATATCAAAAGATCATCCATTATGACCAAGTTGGCTTTATTCCAGATATGCAGGGATAGTTCAATATGTTTAAGTCAATAAATGTAATAAATCACATAAATGGACTTAAAGACAAAAATCACATGGTCATGTCACTAGATACAGAAAAGGCCTCTGACAAAATTGGACATGGATTTATGTTAAAAGTCTTACAGGGAATTGGAGTGGAGGGAAGAATCTCAACATTAATTAAAGCTATATATAATAAACCCATGGCCAACATCTTTCTAGATGGAAAAAACTGGAAACATTCCCACTAAAATCAGGAACCAGACAAGGCTGTCCACTGTCTCCACTCCTCTTCCATATAGTTCTTGAAACTCTTGCTAGATCAGTAAGACAAGAGAAGGAAATAAAAGGGGCACTAATTGGAAAAGAAGAGGTCAAATTATCCCTTTTCACAGGTGATACGATACTATACTTACGACATCCCAAAAATTCCACCAGAAAACTCCTAGAACTGATTGACACTTTCAGTAAAGTGACAGGTTACAAAATTAATCTACAAAAATCAGTAGCTTTCTATTTGTAGGTGATATATTCTACATAAGAGATCCCAAAATTCTATGAAAAATTTGTAGAAATGATCAACACTTTAAACAAAGTGTCAGGAGAAAAAAAATTGGCTTACAAAAATCAGTAGCCACAGACTCAGAAAAAAAATTGACGTATGTTCTCCCTCATATGGGGATCCTAGAACCAAACCCTGGTGAGTATGTATCCAGACATAACTACAGGAACCAGGATAATGGAAAGGAACCAGGGAGGTAAAGGAAAGGAAAGAACCTGAAAGAGAAGAACAGTAGGAAACAGGCTTAATAATGAAGCTATGGATGAAAACGGGGTCATTTAAATAGGAGGGGGGAGGGAGGGAAAGACCG